GAGCTCCCCTGGTTTTAATGTTCTGAGCATTTGTTTGGGGCTGTGGAAATATGGACATATAAAACCATAATCAAACTCCCATGTACCTAAATTCCCTATACCTAAACATTTCCAAAATGGAAAGGGAGCAAAGAGGTAGTGGAGAATATAAAATATGCCCAGAATAAGGAAAGATCTAGATTACCAAGAGGTCTATGTATATTTTATTATGTTTTTTTCTTTCTATATTGCAGCCTGCTTTTGGAAGTACTGTGTTCAAAGCAAGTAGGATTTTTCTCTGTGTTTTTATAACTGAGCCAACAAACCATTCTGGCGATTAAGTCCGACAAAGAAATCTTCAAATACCGAAGACTTTCTACAGAGAAGATACAGCACAGAATACACACAACTATTTGACCATATTTGCTCTAAGCAAATATATTTGTAAAAGGCTCCTGACAGTATTTAAGATGCATGCCAATTATTTAAAAAATAATATAATAAAATGATTTTATACAAACAATGATACATAAAGTAATAAATAGTTGGGGATATTTGTGGGCAATGTTAAGCCTGCCAGACTTTATTCAAGGGAAAAGGGTAAATGGCAAGCAAGTCTGTTTCTTCCACAAGTGTGCCTCATACAAAAGGCTTGAACTTTCCCACAGAAGGCACTGGAAAATTCTCTTACCATGTCTACCTTCTCCAATGGGAAAGAAGCAGTGATCAGTCTCTTGTACATGTTTTGTACTCCATTACTCTTGTACATATATGGAATACCGCTATCTTTCACTCTTCCTCTTCGCTTTCAGAGGGTATTTTCAGGCACAGGAAAACTAAAGAGAAAGGGAGAAAATAGAAATGGAACGAAAGCAGATCCTGTGTGGTGTACTGGTTAGACTGTTGGACTAGGATCGAGGAAACACAGGTTAAAATCCCCACTCTGTCATGGAAGGTTGCCCTGTGACCTTGGACCAGTCATACACTCTCAGCCTAAGTTACCTCACACTTTTCTTGTGAGGACAAAATGGAGGAGAGGAGAATGATGAAAACTGCTTTGGGTCCCCACTGGGGAGAAAGGCAGGGTATAAATGAAGCAAAACAAATAGAAAATACCAGCATTGGAGCCAAGCTACAGATTTGGTAGCCTATGCAGATATGCTGGCATCTTACCCCTCCAACTCCAAATTAGAAGGGGGAAAATGCAAGAAGATAGGGCATGATCATATATGCTATGTGCAGGATTTCAACCTTGTTGGAGTGGGGTGGGTGATTTGCAATGGTATACTTCTCAAGATGTTGAACAAAGCAGAAGAAACTGAGCAGTGACTGGTGTGAAGTTGACTGATTCTCCCAGGGCAGAATAAACGGTGTTGCTTTTCTCGATGTGGCTACTTCTGCTGGCAACTTCTACTGCAGTTTACAAATGTCTTGACATCAAATGATCCCCCCACACACACACACACATACTTGTCCATGCAAATTCATGAATTGCTTTAAGTGGTAGCCATCATTCCTATGGTAGATGAAGAAGGCCAATTACTTCCTTGTTTCCTTGTTTGGTTCCTGTTGTTAGTGACGACAAGGAGCAGTAATGATGATTTGAGGTAGCAGATGGTGTCAGCAGATGGGAACAGGTCCCTGGCTGTCTCTTATGTTGCTCCCTTTCACCATACCTTCAGTAGCTCATACACGCCACACCCATGAGGGTTCAGCCTCACTGAAAGTACAGGCAGGAACCAACAGGTTCTCTCCCTTTCTCTCTCCCCAGCAAGGGGATAGAGGGTTACTCCACAGTGCAGGATGGTTTCCCACCAAAGTTTCAGCAGATGAGAGCAGGTGCCTGACTCTCTCCAGCATCAGATCCAAACAACTTCTGTTTCATTCTGCTCACAGAACATTATTTCTCTGTCTCTTTATTTCTCTGTCTCTTCCTCCCCACTGCAGCCCAGTGTGCTTCCCAATATGCTCTGTAACAGGATGAACTGTCCTTAGGGAGGGCACCATTAGAGGGCTGTCTGAAGAATGGACCTAGCACAGGGGAGTATACTGGGAGATGCAGTTTGATAAGCGTGAGGGACCTAAGCCATGAAGGGCTTTAAAGGTATTAATACTGAATTGAACCCTGAAGCAGGTGGGTAACCAGTGCAACAGCACTTGAGTGATATGTTCCAAGCAGCTGAGCCCCCAGGCAGGAGACTTACTGCCACATTTTGAACCAGTTCTAAGACACCTTCAAAGGCAGCTCCATGTAAAGCATATTACAGTAGTCGGAGGTTATGGTAGTGTGGATCAGTATCACTAGGTCAGCAGTATACTTAAGGGGATGGCTAATGACATAGCAATTGGAGGAATTCTATGTCTTGGGGTTCTTTTATCTGTTGGTGATGATGTCAAGATATACAATTGCTGAGTTTTTAGAAATTGTTACGCATCTGCATTTTGATTACAATATATAATTTTCAAGTTGTTAGTTGCCTTGAGCTTTTGGAAAGGCAAGGAATACCCTTCCCCCCCACAAATATTATCAGTACCACAAAAAAAACAAGCATGGCACAAGATATTTAAGTCAGAATTTGTGTATTTTCATTTCACACTGCAAATCTGTAAGGCATATTAAATGGCTACAATCATTTTATGTGCAGTCTAAATGTACACATGCATACTCCTAACCATGGAATGTAACAGTAATATTTGTTTAATTAATGCTAAAATATAAAATCCAGCATTTAATTTTTGTTAGGATAAAACAGATTAGGTTTTAAACAGGTTATCTTTACAGATGAAAAAGTCAGCATTTAACACCAAATTCAATTTAAACATAAAGAATATGAAATATAATTTCCTGATTACACAGCACAGACTAGCATACTTTAAAAGTAGAAAATAACCCTGTAATAAAATTTGTAAGAAAAGCAGCCATCCTCTTGATATGTTCTAAAATAAATTCAGTACAACAAATTATACACCTCAGTCACAGTTGGTACAGAGATGTACAAACAGAGAATCTGGCCAGTGTTAAATGGACAGAATTCATAGTAGCTGCAGTGTACCTTGGTATGGTTTTGATACTGATGTGCAGTGTTTACATCAGTGTCTATTCTGCTTTCCTTTCCTTTACATATTGAACATACATTTTCAGCATCCTAAAAACAACAAGCCTTATCTTTATTGCTAGTCAATTCATGTTTGTTTAGGGTCTCCAAATGAATCCTGTACTTTAAAAAAGGAGGATAAAGGCTCTCCTGTGGCTCAAACCTGAACCGTATTTGTAGATTTGAATAAAACAATGGGGAGGTAGAGAAAAGACCTAATTTCAGCAGCCAGCATAAATATTTTCCACTTAAATCTAGCCATCACTTACTGACTGCATCATGAATTAATGGGCCACTAGAACTCCTACATCACTTGAACGTAATACTTTGAATTCAAGACTTCAAGTGTTCAGCAATCAAGTAGTGTTGAATGCAAGCACAAATCAACACTCAGCCTCTGATCCTGAAAGCTTCCCACTTAATTAAAAGTTAGCTTGAAAACTTAATTCCTTGGATCACCAAATAGTTATTAGCGGACCATCCATGCTGAGGCAAACCTGGTAGAGGCACAGAATACAAAACTTGCTCATAGTTTTATAGCAGAGAGAGGGATTATCAAAAGATGGGATTTGTTTGGAGGCACCCCTGTGATTTGTATTCAGCTGACATGATGTTAGTGTTCCATTATATAGGAAGACCAGAATAGTATGGATGTGATTTTGTTTTATTGGTGGTTATGTTTACCTTGAAAGATAAATATTAGACTATTTCACCTAAAAAGACGTCAGTCAATGAACAAATTTGGCAATAGCTCTGAGGTAAAGCAAAAATAGTAACACAACTTTGAGACGTGGGCATTTAACACCCCATTTAACCTGTTGGATTCCTGTGGTATAAGAACATCAAGAAGACTTAATCTGACTAGGGCTCAGCCCTGGAATCAATGCAGTAATGATAAGCACCTGTGACTTGCATAGGATGGATTTTTCTCACCATTGATTAACCATTACCACACCCCAGCATCATCTGAGATTAGGAATATGAGTGTTCAGGACAGCTTGTGGGTATCTTTGAGTTTCAGCAACACTCTTCATAAAACATCACACAGAACTCTTGCCACAGTACTGTTTTCAAATATCAGCAGATAGCATTGCTGGTAGTCCCTATCCTATGAGCTGATATAGAAAATCTTAGGGCTGTAAGTCACTTCCCACAATATTTAAGCAGGTGCTTGCAGAATGTCAACCACCATATTTAAAGGGGAGATGCTTGTTAACAAAACACATGTCCAAGAGCCAACTTCTCTGAGATTCATGGGAGTGTATGAGGTAGAAACTTGGCAAACAACTTTTTTACTGTATGAAGTAGCATTGAGTTAAAAAAAAGTTAATGCAGTTCACATATTGCAACATTTTGCTGCCCTGTCTTTTAATAAAAAGATGGACTTATCAAATTCCCTCTATGCAAAGGGAGCAATCTACATGTCAAAAAGGGGGTTTTCTGCTGTAAAAGGGGGTTTTCTGCTGTAACAGTGACACAATGGTTGCTGAATGGTTAAACAGACAACCACATATGGTTGTTCTTACTGTGCCCATAGCAACACATGTTGAAAATTCCTATACAGCAGCCTGTTCATGGGAGCTGCTGATTCCTCTGCGGTGTTTGTGATGTTCTGAATCTTCACAAATATTCTTTCCATTTATCACCACTCTAAAAATCACAATTTTTATTTAATCTAGATTTTATTATTGCTCATTTTTTCATTTTTGATCCTGTACCTAAATACAATACATATACATTTGTGTGTGCCATTTGCACATCTGTAAGCTGATTTATATACAAAGAAAGTATTCTTGAGTGTGTAGCTCAATAAAACAATTAAACTGGGATAATTGGACAGGTTCATAATTTAAAACCATATGGGGCCCCTTGACTTTGCGGTTTTCTTTTTCATTAAACAGAATCAGAGAAATAAAACATTTTGAATCATTTCATTCTTTTTGCAACATCCAGATAAGCAAACTCTATTTCCCGATCTGCTGGACAAGTATTTGTAAATTCATCTCTAGCATAAGCATTGTTCAAATATCTCCAGATTCCAGTCATTTCAGATGGAAACTCAAAATTTCTATATTTCTTTGCAACAACCTTAAAAGAAGATAATGGAAGAAATCATTAGACACATGTGTTAAGTAATCCATAGAAAATGTAATTCCCTCTTCCCAATTTCCTGGTTGCTATAGGAGAAAAAAGAGCAATAGGAATAGAAAATAATACAGAATTAACAAAATTACAGTCACACATTTTCATGGATTTCATAAACTTTGTGACCATGATTTAAACATGCATGACTGCATTGCTGGGTAGGTCAGGCTCAATGTTTAAAGGAAACAGCTTTTAACAGAAAGGGAAGTTCCCTGTTTAGGCTGTCCCCTTAAATGCATACCTTGAACCTAATGATGAGAGGGACGAAATACTTTTTAAAACACATAAATAAAAGTATCTCACATAATAAAATTTGATATAAATCTGGGCTGAAATTAAAATGTTCTAATAACTACCTTTCTGACAAATTTGGCACAGACATCAAATTTGCATATATCATCAGAACTTGAAATATTCAGCTACCAGACTGCAGAAGGTTTGGGAGTTATTCCTATCTCTCCCCTTCTACACATTCTACTGCTTTATAGTGCAAAGGTAAGCAAGTACAATAACTGGAGGTGGGGAGAAACCATACCTTGATAATATGAAGTTTTGGCAAGAGATTACAATCTGCTAACGTGAGCTCATCATTATCCAGGAATTTCCTTCTGGAAACAGTGAGTTCTTCTGTGCTATTGGCATCAATTTCTTCAGGCAAGGGGTCATTTAAGTAGTCATTCAGTTTTCTTAAAGCCTTAAGCAAAGATTTTTCCAAATCTAAAAATTTTAAAAAGATTTTAAAATACATAAAAGTAATATCGTTCTTAAAGGACGCTTCCTCCCTGAACAGACCCACTCACCAAGCAAATTTGGCTTTTCAGGAGGTCTTGTTGGCTTCTGTCAGATCTTTGACTTTCTCCATAGCAGTACTTCTTATGAATGGGGGTCACTCTGATGCTAAAATAATACAAGTTGGCTTGCTGAAGTAGATAGACAGATTCCCCAGCTGCACTAAAGGGGCAGATGGCATTTTTAGGGTGATGCATGACCTGGGAAAATCAGGCAGGTAGTGAAGCATCCTTGAGCTGTCTCCTGTTGTCTGATGGAAGATTTGGCTTTCCCTCAGAGACCCCAAACACCAAATTGAGGGCTGTGGGCCAGAAGGTTGTAGAGCTATAACTGTGGGTATTATTGATGAACTAATTTGTGGTGAGGATTGAATTTTCATTGGTGTGAAACAAAGGGAAGACTTCAAGCCACAATACAAGATGGTGGTGGTGGGGTGCAGGCATGTGGCCTTTTGTTAGTGTAGTCTTTGTCTGGTCCTGGAACCTTAGTGGAATGAGCCAGAGGAGGATCAGAGACTGAGTCTGCAAGGAATACAGGAGATGTTCACTGGAGTAAAAGATAAATCTGTATAGTACTGTATTGTTTTATGTCTTGGCTTTGTCTAGCCAGCATTGCTATATTTTCCTTGGCTGTAAAATACTTCCTAACTATCTGTGTTTCCTGCTTAATTAGACATTTAATAGAATAAAGCTCTGTTAGAACCTAAAGTGCATGTACCTTGGTGGAAAGGAAATTCATTATAGAAACAAATCCAGACCATGTAAGCACACAGGCTGCTCAGCCACAAAAAGAAACAGTCCTGGGAAGATAGCTCCATCTCTAGTTGGGAAAGAGAGGGGAGCAAGGCGCCAGGAAGTGTTCACTCAGCTTCCTCTCACACTCATATACACCTAACTGCGATGGACTAGTATACACTGGGAACATTCCACTGACTGTAGTTTGTCTGGCAGTGTTGACTGCTACCCGAGTGCTGATTTCAGTTTGGATGAAGGGAGCCCAAACTGGAGTTTCCCCATGAATCCTGGCTCCTTTATAATTTAGCTCAGGTGCCTAGACAAAAGCAGCATGCTGAAAGGAATTGAGTACCAGGGGAGACAATATCGTGACAGTGGTTTTACGGTTGTATTTTATCTGTTTTAATTCTGGCACTTGTGCCTCGTTGTTAGCCACCCTGAGCCTTCGGGGAGGGCGGGATATAAATCCAAAAATAAATAAATAAATATTGTGATTTTTCTGGAAGCAACTTCAAGTCTTAGGGGAAGAACATTTTAAAAAATGCACTGGAAACAAATGAGGGATAAGACTATTACAGAAAGTTTGATTCATTTACAACCTTGGTAATGTCTTGCATCATTCACATACAACTTTTTTTCTAAATTCAAACTTGCCATTTTGAAAATATTTCTTGCCCATCACCTCTGTTTCAACAGTGTCTGATCATATTATATTATTATAGGATATATTCTATTATAACTCCTGGCTTTGTAATATAACAGATAGGATTACATTTCTGCTGTTTGGAAATGCCACCTTTCTAAACTTGTAATTCTTTTCCAGTTGCCTAAACTGGAAAAACACTACTAAAGGGGCCAGTACACGCTGCGTAGTGTGACACATTCCTGGAAGGTTGTTGTGCTAATCTGTTGTAGCCAAAACACGGGGAGGGCGGGATATGGCAAATTAAAGATTTTGTGGCAAATTAAAGCCATTCATTATGGAATAAGCCTTCATGAGCCAGAATGTACTCTGTCACTGATTTCTAAGCATTTCACCTCCCTGAATATAATATCTTAAAAATTGCCATACTTCAGTGAAAAGGTTCAAAGAGAAACTCTGAAAGAATGAAACAGTTCAGCTGGAATTTATTTGCAGATTTGACACTATCAAACTTTGGCTCAATAGGTACTGGGAGTGGCTAGCTCATAGTGATCCCCCCCCCAGATTTATATTCACTATTCAACTTGCTTTGCCAATTCATTGCCAGATGGGAGTGACCTACACCATACTCTGAAGGGTTATTTTACTATTGTGATTGGCTATTATATTTATTTGTGTTCTTTATTATGAAGTAATACATTACTTGGATTGTTGAGCTTTCTGGCCTTCCGTTGGCTGCTTCCAAACTGAGATTTTTCTCTGCCTTGGCCTCCAAACTGGAGCCGTACTTGTCCTGTTCCTGTATTTTCCCTGTCCTCAATATGGCTTTTTCCATATCCGCTTTACTCTGATATTTTGGGAATAAATGCAATCCAAGTGTGTTAACATGCTGTCTGGAAGGAATGGTACATATTTTTCCTGCCTTGCAAATATCCTGCCTACATCAGCACCTTGCATCATCTCCCTACCATTTTTCCCTGCTGGGCCACCAGAGGGCACTTTGAGGGCTTTTTAAAATAACTGTAATTGTTATAGCACTATATGATGCTATCACCATGTAAGTATTTCAAATTTTAATAGAGCCAATAGATCACTATAGCAATATAGTGCACGTGTGAAGGACAAAACAAAAGGACAATGAGTCCTCATGGCAGCTGTGACACCCACGGCCTGAAGAGCCAATGTGGAACTGCTGCAAAGTACATCTGGAAGGAAATGAATGGGAGAAAAGATGGAGAAAGTATGCAGGAAAGCACCACATGTGGAAGCTCTGTTGCCACTGTGCACATCTTTGCATTAGCAGCAGCAGTGGAAGCGACATGGAGAATCCTTGCCTGATAAAGCAGGCTTTGTAATAACATCATTCACACTCATGCACACATACACACTCACCACCCTGCTTCTGTCTGTAGCCATGTGCATAGATATTTCTGCCAAGTATGGCTAACATTTTGTGCATCTGACAAAGTGGCTCTGGCTCACAAAAGCATATGCAACAATACAGTTATTAATTTTAAGATGCCACAAAATTCTTGGGTGTTATGTACACCAATCAGATCCATCTGTGAAACACAGCCAGTTCTATCTGCACTGGGGGCATGTAAAACACTTTCCTGTGGTTTGAACTGAAATTATCTATGTTTAGGCTGACTCTGCTACAAAAATGTGGATAAATAAATACTTGATTTCCAAAACTTTTACTTAATTAATTATACGTAATGAGGGCTCAGATTGTCTTGCACAGTTCTCTCCATCGTTTTATTCTCACAACAACCCTGAGAGGTAGGCTAGGCTGAGGTAAGAGAACTATTGTCCTTGTACAGAAATATTTTAATACTAGGAGTAAGGCCTGTTGTGGGAAGAAATACAATGAGCTCTAGAAGGAAGCCCCAGGTGAATGTCCTGACTGTGGCTGGTGGGGCGGCAGAAGGAAGGGGAAAATAGAGGGAGGCAAGCCATGTTTATTTCCTTCTGCTTAGCTATAAGGCAGGGCTATCTCAAGTCATTTTGCTGCCCCAAGTGGGTAGTATGGGAGGACAGCCTCATGGTAACAGGTATGGTTCCCTCCACCCCTGACTTATGTTGATTTGGGGTTATGCAGTGGCAACTAATGTAGAAAAGCACCTCCTCCTATGCCATGTCTTCTGGGTTCCAAGGTCTGGAAAGTGGTTCCATAGCCAGTTACAGGGTTGGGAAATACCTGTAGATTTGAAGGGTAGAGCCTGAGGAGGACAAGGTTTGGGGTGGGGAGGGACCTCAGCAGGGTATAATGCCATAGAGTCCACTGCCCAAAGCAGCCATTGTCTCCAGGAGAACTGATCTTGGTCATCTGGACATCAGTTGTAATAGCTGGGAAATTTTCTGTAGGGGAAATGATGTGCTATGACTGGGGAACATGGTGATTTCTGGGAGATCTCTAGGTCCCACAGGGAGATTGGGATATGTATTTTACCTCAGGACACATTCAGTGACCCCCAACAGCAACAGCAAACTGTTTAGAATGTTAGAGGCAAAGGCCAATCAGGCCGCATATGCAAATAACCTCTGTGTTCTGACTTGCTATGGAGGGGGGGAGAGGAACAGCAAACTGTTTAGAATGTTGGAGGCAGGCAACGCAGCCAGTGGATAGGGAGACCCTCTGAGTGACAGATCAGGGAGCCAACTGATTTGGAAGCATGTGGAATGCTCAGGAAAGTCCATGACCAAAACACAATGATATATAAGGAGAGATTGCTTTCCCCTTTTCTTCTCCATTCTTCCAATCTAAAATGAATACTTTGCAAAGGAAATCTTGGCTTCATGTTCTCCTTGCAGGGTGTCTGATTAGCTGCTATTGGAAACAGGAAGCTGGACTAGGCCACTGGTCTGCTGCAGGAGAGCAATGCTTATGTTCTGAAAGAACTCAAATGTGAACTTGTGGATATCCTAACAAAAATATGTAATCTTTCATTAAGATCCGCCTCCATTCCTGAGGACTGGAAGGTAGCTAATGTCACTCCCATCTTTAAAAAGGGTTCCAGAGGAGATCTGAGAAATTACAGGCCAGTTAGTCTGACGTCGATACCAGGTAAGTCGGTGGAAACTGTTATTAAGGAAAGAATTAGTAGGAGTGAACAAACGTGGACAAGGGGGACCCAATAGATGATGTTTACCTTGACTTCCAGAAAGCTTTTGATAACGTTCCTCATCAAAGGCTCCTAAGTAAGCTCAATAGTCATGGGATAAAAGGACAAGTCCTTTTGTGAATCAAAAACTGGCCCCAATACCAGCACCAACTTACTAACCAACAGCCTGGCAAGAACCTAAACTATGGTGGTAGTTGACCATCTGGATGCCAAAAGAATGCCACCATCACTTATTAGCACTATTAGCACCTATGATTTTATATGTTGTGGTTCTATTTAAATTCTGTGTTTTTATATTTTGCTGTTTTAATATCTATATATATTCTGTAAGCCGCCCTGAATCTGCCTTGGCGGGGAGGGTGGGATACAAATTAAACAAGCAAACAAATAAATAAATGGAAACAGAGAGTATAAATGGGCAATTTTCTCAGTGGAGAGTGGTAAGCAGTGGGGTACCACAGGGATCAGTACTGGGTCTGATGCTTTTTAACTTGTTCATTAATGATTTGGAGTCGGAAGTAAGCAGTGAAGTGGCTAAATTTGCGGATGACATGAAGTTGTTCAGGGTGGTGAAAACCAGGGAGGATCATGAGGCACTACAAAGGGATCTATCGAGGATGGGCAAGTGGGCGTCAACGTGGCAAATGGGGTTCAATGTGGCCAAGTGCAAAGTGATGCACATTGGGGCCAAAAATCCTAAACATAAATAGACGTTGATGGGGTCTGAACTGGCAAAGACTGACCAAGAAAGAGATCTTGGAGTTGTAGTAGATAACTCACTGAAAATGTCAAGACAGTGTGCGACTGCAATAAAAAAGGCCAATGCTATGCTGGGGATTATTAGGAAGGGAACTGAAAACAAATCAGCCAGTATCATAATGCTTTTGTATAAATTGATGGTGCAACCTCATTTGGAATACTGTGTACAGTTCTGGTCACAACACCTCAAGAAGGATATTACAGCATTGGACACAGTGCAGAAAAGGGCAACTAGAATGATAAAAGGGTTGGAACACTTTCCCTATGAAGAAAGGTTAAAGCGCTTGGGGCTCTTTAGCTTGGAGAAATGACGGCTGAGGGGTGACATGATAGAGGTTTACAAGATTATGCATGGGACAGAGCAGGTAGAGAAAGAAGTACTTTTCTCCCTTTCTCAAGGTACAAGAACTCATGTGCACTCCATGAAATTGCTGAGCAGTCGGGTTAGAACAGATAAAAGGAAGTACTTCTTCACCCAAAGAGTGATTAACACATGAAATTCACTGCCACAAGAGGTGGCAGCAGCTACAAGCATGGACAACTTCAAGAGAGAATTGGATAAACATATGGAGCTTATGTCCATCAGTGGCTATTAGCCACAAGGTATAGGGCAGGTGATGCGCTGTATTCTTGGTGCTTGGGGGGGGGACAACAGTGGGAGGGCTTCTAGTGTCCTGGACCCACTGCTGGACCTCCTGATGGCACCTGGTATTTTTGGCCACTGTGTGACAGAGTGTTGGACTAGATGGGCCATTGGCCTAATCCAACATTGGCTTCTCTTATGTTCTTAATAAAGGGCTTCAATACATTTGTACATAAATATACCAGAATTCATCATTGCTCTTTAGAGCACCAACTTGGGCAAAACAGAATTGGTGGGAGAATGTGATGGAATGAGCATGTGCTACTTGCTTTTATGATGCTGCTGCCCTAACCAGGGGCAGAGGTGAGTTCTTGCAAAGTTCTGAACCTGGTTCCGTCAGAGGTATCCCAGTGTGGTGTAGTAGTAAGAGTGTTGGACTATGATCTAAGAGATCCAAGTTTAAATCTCCATTCAGCCACAGAAACTTGCTGTGTGATAGGGTTAACATTCTCCAGGTGGGGGTGGGAGATCCACTGCTTCTGTGGGCTCCTGCCCACCGGCGGCCAGCTGGCTGATGGGAGGAAATTCCCCGTACCCATCCTCAAATATTGACGTAGGCATGTTGGTGACGTTGGGGGGGGGGATACTCTAGTTTTTGAGTGAAACTCTATGGTTTGAGGGTGATTTTACCATACAGTTTTGCCCCAAAACCAGCCCCAACGTCATCGGTGTGCCTACGTCACTTCCAGGTGACACATGCATGTCTCGCGATGTCTCCACCCACTCCTGGAATGCACCCTAAATCCCCTCACCAGCACAACGATTGGACCTGGCAACACTACTGCATGACCTTGGTCTAGGACTGCCAACTCTTGTTTGGGAAATTCCTGATGATTTGGGGATGGAGCCTTGGAACAGCAGAGTTTGGGGAGGCCAGGGACCTCAGTGGGGTATAATGCCATATAGTTACCCTTCAAATCTGCCATTTTCTCCCAGGGAGCTACTCTCTGTAGTCTGGAGATGACTTGTAATTCTGAGAGATCTCCACGCCCCACCTGGAAACCCTACCTTGGGCCAGTTTCACACTTTCAGCCTAATCTACCTCACAGGGTTGTTGTGAGGATAAAATGGGGGAGAGGAGAACAATGTAAGCAGCTTTGGGTCTCCTTCTGGGAGACACACAAGATATAAATGGAGTTTGTTATATCCCACCTTTCCCCCGAACCTCAAGGTGGCTAACAATGTGTCCAGAGGCATACAAATAAGGTGGCTAAACAACATACCCTCGAAAGTGAACCAGAGTCCAAAGGTTCTTTTGCAACCCAACCAATGCTCATTCACAGAGCAGCAACCTCATCTGAAAGCCCTGTGAAATTAAGTAGCTGTGCAGACCTTCCAAAGCAGCAAAGGCATCCTCTAGACCTCCTCTAGCAGTCCAAACCATGAAATTGGCTCACTGACCAAGAAGGACCTAAGCAGAACTATGGTGGATGAAAACATCAATCTATAAGTAGGCACTGAAAGAAGAAGCTGACAGCAGAACTAAATTCACATAGCTTGCTGGTTTCCAGATTTCACTGCTGGCCGATTACAGCTAGCTTTAATGTTGCTTTCAGCACTGTATTGTTAGAGTAAAAGATCATACATTTCCACAAAGCAATTTTTCAATAATCACAAGCTCAGCAGTATTATTAGAAGGTATGATCCATTAATATGAAATTCTTAAGAGGAATTTCAAAAATTATTTTTAAATATTTAACAGTCAAGTGCTATAGAATATAGAAATCTGTTGTGGTCCCTACTGTGTGTGCTGGCAGCGGCAACTTAAAAAATGGAATTATTTTATACTTCAGTATGGGTTTGTAGCCCAAATTAAATGCTTTGGTATTGTACTATATATTATCAATATTACAAATTATGTAGCAGCTAAAACTATTGCAAAAGGTGAAACAAAGTGACAAAAACCAGTGTACCACACATATAGTACTATATATTTTCCATCAAATGCCCATTTCTATTGCAAGTCTCTTTGCTTTCTTTTCTGAACCACTTTGTCAGCATGTACAGATGGGATACCACTGGGAATGGTTACATACTGCATTTAGAGAAATTGTAGCCTTTTACCTGAGAAAGGGACTACTGGTGATCACCCTCTTCCCTACCTCACACACAGGATATTCCCGTTTTTCTTCTTCTTTCTTGCTGAGCAGCCCCTATATCTATTTTCTTTTTATTTATTTGTCTTTGGCTATCCCACCCAATTGCATAGACAGACAGACAGACAGACAGACTGACAGACAGACAGATAGATACTGAGGGTAGAGACAAAATCACCTTCTTATATTCAACTTCTGAAATGACACATGAGAGGCTTTTGAAAGTTCAAAATAAACAAAATGTTTTATTTAACTTAGAGGAGAAAGGGTCAAGTGAAATCAGAGGTAGGATAGGAGAAGATGATGATGATGAGGAGACTGGATTCATACCCCGCCCTTCACTCAGAGTCTCAGAGCAGTTTACAAACTCCTTTCCCTTTCCCCTCCCCACAACAGACACCCTGTGAAGTAGGTGGGGCTGAGAGAGCTCTTTCAAGGACGCCTCTTTTTCAAGAACATCTCTGACAGAACTATGGCTTGCCCAAGGTCATCCAGCAGCTGCAAGTGGAGGCGTGGGGAATCAAACCCGGTTCTCCCAGATTAGAGTCCATACACTTAACCACTACACCAGGTGAACCAATAATAAAAGTCAGTAATAATGGTATGAAGTGTACAGGTACTTACTTTCATTGGCATCTTTTCTTGTGTTTTTTATGAATGCAGAAAATTTAGCAAATACGTCATTTCCTGCAGAGTATGACTGTGGATGGTTTGGTGCAAGTTTCGGATACCTGAAAAATTTAAGACATAAGAATGTTATCCTAATTCATTGTTTCAAAACATTTTGAATAGGAAAATCCTGAAGGGGTCTTACCTTTTAGCAAAACTAAACTGGCAACAATACATCCTAACACATATTAAAACCATAAGTTTTTATATAGGGTGCTCTTTAACACCCAGTTGCCTATGAGAAGACTATTCTGCATGACACCAAATATCTATATACTAAATCCAGCACAGTTGGCAGTACCTTGGTGGTGCTAATTTATCTTCTAAGAACTCCTCAATTTTATTCACATCTGTTTTCACTTCACCATCAAAAGTCATAAAAGGAGGGTTCGTTCCTGGAGCCAAATTCTGAAGGTCAGCCGGCTTCCTAAAAAGAGGCAAAATTGTGAGCAGGACCTTGCCTTTCTATATATATCCTTCTGTTTTAGGTAAACTATCTGTTTTGATATTGACATTATATCTAACTGATTCTTACCATTTCAAAAATTAGATGGTTTTTTCCCCTACATTATTTTTTTAACTTGTACTGATGTTTAACATTCATATTCATTCATACTCCTTTTCATCAATATTACATAACATAACCAAACATCAAATACTTCATTTCCCCCCTTTTATCATTCCCTCCCCCCTTCCCCTAGCAACCAGAAAGGGGGGGGGGATCTTATTATTATATCTGTAACCATAAGCACACCCTATGGAGTTTTATAAATACATCATTATTGCCCCCCTTCTCTTTCCCATCTTATATACCCAAACCATTTCTTTCTTATCTCCGCCTTATCTTCCCATGTCTTTTCCTGTTTTATTATCAATAAAATATCTGATTGAATCCATTTGTATAAGTACCAGTTCCATCTTTCCAGAGTTCATTTTAAAGCATCTTTCCATCCATATGCTATTACCGCATAAGCAGCTAAAATCGCAGGTGTCCTATACCATTTCAAGATTAATTTCATTTCCAGTTCTTTAAATTTCTCCATTTTTATTTCAAGTATTCCCTTCATTAAACTATTTACCTCCTGTACTGATAGGTTCATCTCCTTCTCTTATTTAGATTGTATTGTCCTGATCATAAAGTCCTTATCTTTATTCAATACACTATACACTTGCCTTGCAATACCCTTCTTGTTGTCATCTTTAGAACTATAGAGGTTTTCAAAAGGGTTATCCTCCTTATTTACTGCTTCAGAGAATATATTTTGTCTCAAAACATTATATAATCCCATAATCCTTAACCAATATTGTCCTATCACTTTCTCCAGTACTACTTGTATTGGGATCAATTTTCCTTTAAAGTTATACAAATCTTTTAGCCTAAAGAATCCTTTTTTCTAACTCCTTCCAAAAAGTTATCTCAAAAAATTTTAAATTCTTGATTTAAAGATGCAAGTGGAGCCCATTTCGAAGTCACTGGTATCCAAACAGCTTGTTTCTTTTCCCAAATCCTTAATATTGTCTGTCTTTGTCCTATCATATTTTCAATTTCTTTTTTTATCTTCCGTGTAAATATTCCAAATCAACCTGCTCCTCCACTTATAGTACCCCCCCTTATCACCCATTTCTCTAGACTTTTACCATCTATTTTCATCATCATTCTTATTTGAAAAACTTCATAATACCTTTCCAATTGTGGCATACCGCAACCTAACACTTCCTTTGGGGAGTATATCACTTTCCTTGCTAATCTGGTTTTCTTCTTCCCAAACACCCAGTTTTCAATTTTCTGATCCCATGTTATTAATTGTTTTCTGGATATCCACTCTGGGAGTACCTGAAACAAATACATCATCTTAAGTATTATAAACATTTTAACTGCCCTTATCTTCCCCGGTATACTCAAATGTTTTTTATTCCATTGGTTTAAATTTTTTTGTATCTTTCTCCATGCTATTTTGTCATTTATACCCACCAAGTTTTTAATATTTTTTTTATCATTACATCCAAGTATTTCAACCTCTTAGTTGCTAATTTCATAGTTACTTGGCTTTCAAACCGCTGGGTGTATATCAACAGATAACACTTTAACATCTATATATCCAATAGCCAAGTTGCCCCCTCAGTGCGGATATCTAAATCCGCACATCGGGGGCACTTGGGGGGGGCAGAGAGATTTTCCAGCACACTTGGAGCAGTCCCCAGGTATGCAGAAAAATCTAAAAAGTTGAAAAACCCCCCGGGGATATTTAAATCCCCCCAAAAGTAAATGCGTTCCCTGTGCATGCACAGAGAATGCTCTGGCCATTGGGGGGAGGCTCGGCAGGCACGGTGGCTGGGAGCCACTCGGGTGAGGCCTCACCACCGGTGCCCGGGGGGGAGCAGGAGAAGGCTCGGCTGGCTTGGCGGCTTGGAGCCACTTGGGCCTCGCTGCCGGTGCCTGGGGGGAGTGGGAGAAGGCTCAGCAGGCCCACGCAGCTTGCCACCAGTGTGGGGGGCGGGGGAGAAAGATTGGAGGGCCCAGCAGCTGGGAGCCACACAGGCCTCGCCACCAGTGCAGGGGGGTAGGGAAGAAAGACTGGCGGGCTCGGCAGCTGGGAGCTGCGTGGGCCTTTGCCGTCAGGGCTGGGGGGTTGGGGGGAGAAGGATTGGCAGACCTGGGCCTCACTGTCAGTGCGAGGGGGCAGGGGAGAAGGCTCCCCCGCAGCTGCTTCCTCCTCCTCCTCCTCCACATGGAGCACCTTCTCCCCCCCCGTGAGTATCACGGGTCCCCGCTTCTTGATATTTCTGATTTTTTAATATTTACCCCTAAACCTGAATATATTTTAAAGTCCTGTAATATTATCATAAGTTCCCTCAAGGCTTCCAGGGGATTCTCTAACACTAATAATATATCATCTGCAAATAAATTTAGTTTAATTTCCTCCTTCCCTATCCTTTATCCATGTATCCTAATACTATTTCTAATTCTGTCTGCCAATGGCTCCATGGCTATAATAAAAAGCACTGGGGATAAGGGACAACCATGTTTAACTCCTCTTTAAATCAATTTTTTGCTAGTATGTCCATCATTAATTTTAATCATGACTTTCCCTTCTCTATATATTTCTTTTAGTGTATTTAGAAAAGCTCCTTCAAAACCAAGTCTTTTTAGCACTTGAAATAAAAACACACGATTTAGTATATCAAAAGCCTTGTAAACGTCTAATTTCAGAAGGGCTATCCTTCTCTTATTATTATTACCATGGTACAAAGCATTAATCACATTTCTTATGGGATGACCAATAGATCTCCCTTTCACAAAACCATATTGATCCTCTCCGATTAACCTTGGAAGTAGCTTCTCCAATCTATTTGCTAACACCTTCCAAAAAAATTCTTGGTTTGCCAAGCTTATGGGTCTATATGAACTAGGATCCACTGGATCTGTATATTGTTTTAAAATTGTCATAATTTCCATCTTCCTCCAAGTATCTGGGGCTTTCCCTCCCCTCAATATCTTATTTCTGCATTTCCAGAACTATAAAGTCTCCCATCACTTTATAGAATTCTGCCGTGAACCCATCCAGACCTGCTGACTTCCCATTTTTTAAATTCTTAATAACCTTCAAAGTTTCTTGTTGTGTAATGTCTTCATTTAATATTAACAAATCCTCTTAATTTTATTATCTATGACTTCATCAAATTGCTTATTTTCTCCAACTGTAAATGTTTTGATAAAATTTTGTAAACACTTCTTTTATCTGATTCTCCTTATAAACCTTATTTCCTGTTTCATTTTTATGCAAATTATTTTTTTCCTTTCTCGCCTTCTTTTCAAGTAATTTACTAGCCTCTTCATTGTATTTGTATTACTACTTTGATATTCATTTTTCACTAGTATCTCCTTTTTCCACATAGAAAGTGAATCCAATTCCTGCAGTTCCTTTTTCAGATTATTCAATTTATCCTGAATTTGCTTTTCATATTTTTTTGCAAACTTCTCTGTAATTCTAATATTTCCTTTAACTTTTGTTCTCTTTTAATTCCCATTTTCTTCCTAAAATATATTTCTTTAGTAATACATATTCCTCTGATGACCATCTTCGCTGCATCCCAAATTATATCTTCCTCTGCTGATTGCTTGTTTTCTTTAAAATAATATTCCATCCCTCTTAATAGATCTTCTCTATCCTTCTGTTGTAAAAATATTTTGGGGTTAAATCTCTACCTTTTAATCTTCTGCTTCTCCTCCAACCTGATCTCTATACTAATTGGTGCATGGTCAGAGATACATATTGCCCCTGTTTCCACCCTGGTAACTTCCATATCATTGGTTTCTTTTATTAGGATATGATCAATACAAGAGAACTTGTTATGCCTTTTCGAAAAGAATGTAGGTTTTTTCTCTTCCTGCAATAGGTTATATACCCCTTTAAGTTTCCATTTATATAATTTTAACTTCTTATTATTCAGAATATCAATATTAAAATCTCCTACTATTAGTAGTTCACCTTCATAAAGTGATTGTAACCTTTGGAAAATTTGGTTCAAGAATATAGTCTGCCCTTTATTGGGTGCATAAATGTTTGCTACTGTATATTTTTTACTATTCATACCAAATTTCAAAAAAATAAATCTACCCTCTCTATCCTTGCTTTGCTCCAAAATATTAATATTCAACCTAAAATGTAATAGGGTAGCCACTCCCCTTGCTTTTTTTGTTCCCCGTGATTCAAATTGCATTTTCCAACTTGGTGATTTTAACAATGGCCTTAAACCCTTCCTACTTTTATGTGTTTCTTGGATGCACTGGATATCTATATCAAGGCCCCTTACCATTTTGTTTAGTCTATATCTTTTAACATCTGAGGCCAAACCATTACCTTTAAGGAGAGTAATTAATCATCCTCCCCATTCTGCTTTTAAAAACATTCTCCACTATGTGCTTTTTAGTCTTTGTTTTTTCCCCTCCTTATTCCCTGGCCGCTCCCTTCCCATAGCCCAAAGAACAGCTCCTTCTCAAGGAGCTGGATGAAGATTCAAGTTCTCCCTCCCCTTTTCGTTCTTCAAAATGCAGTCCTGCCTACTCATATTCAGCTCCCCCCCTCCATCTCTCAATACATTTATTTTAACCATTACCAGAATGCCGTACTTCAAAAAGAAAAAAAATCCCTTTATATCCCCTGTTTATTTTTACTTTTATATTCACATAAAAATCCAAAGTCTCCCATCTTCACTCGGTGGTTTTTTAGAGTCAATCTTCTCCTTCCTCTTCTTTTCCTTCCTCTTGATCTTCTTTATCTTCTCTCTCTGATTGAAACCCTTGTGAAGTATGTTTTATATTAAGTCTCTCAAATAATTTTTCTGCTTCTATAGGGTTTTTTGCATTCATAAGCTTCCCATCCTTGAAAATCAGAATAGTTGCTGGAAATCACCAAGAAAATAATATACCATTCTTATAAAGTTCCTGAGCATATGACCTCATCTGTTTTCTCTCTTGTAATGTTTCTGGCGATAAATCAGGATGAGGTATTACCCTCTGACATTGAAGTTGTAAATTCTTGATCTTCCTGAGAGCTTTCCAGACCTTATCTTGTATCTTTTCCCTTGAAAAGGCAATTATAATGTCTCTAGGCATGTCTCCTGCTTTAGGCTTCAGTTTCAAGCTTCTGTGTGCACACTCTAAATCATTTTTTGTAACATTTATGCCAAGTTTCTGAAACCACTCAATAAAAGTTCTTACCAGGTCTCTGGTAATAATGTCTTCCATTACTCCTGAGAGTCTCAAATTTTTACGCTGCTGCTGGTCTGATAAGGAGGCTACCCTTCTTTTTAGTTATTGGATTTCTTTTTCATTAGCTCTCACCTTTTTCTCAGCATTATCCGCTACTGTCTGAGCAGTTTTAATGTGCTCCGATGATTGCTCAAATTTATCTTGTAATTTTTTAATGTCGTCTCTAATGTTTTTTTCCATGTTTGCTTTAAGTTCCACCATATCTTTAGTTCCCTCTTTGCCACCATTATGAAGGAAGCCTTTAATTAGCTTAATTAGCTTTACAGAAAAGACTCACCCAGTCCAAAGTTATCTTTTCCTTCTTCAAGGTTTCCTCCTCCCTAGGATTACTCTGTTCATTCTTATCTCCAGGCTTTTTTTGGTTGTATTTTATTTTATCTGACTCCTTTCTCGGAGGGGTAGCGTGAGGCATCTAATCTTGCTGACGCATGCGCAGGTCCTCCATTTCAAAAATTAGATGTGGGGGCTAACATAGTCACTCACAACAGTCCAGAGTAAGGCAAGCATTCTAAAAATCAGTTGGATTCAACAGGTATACCTTTCAACTGAGAATTCCAGTACCATAGATTTAAGGCAACAGCAGGCTTTGCCACCTTAATTTCCATGGTTTCAAAAGTTTCAGGTGTACAAGTTGCTGTACATCAAATGTTCTTAATAACACAATAATAGGTTAAGTCATGTGTTTTGTGCTGTACTTACAGCTGATAACAACTGTAATTTCAACTAGAAAAGACAGCCCTCATACAAGACATGGCAAATAGATTTTAACAGCCTGCAAATTACATGCATGGTTGAACAGCCAGGACTGCCAATTGTGCCAACCCCCATGAGGAAACAAACTATTATGACAACAGCCAGCAATAAACAACTGTCTTCTCTTTTTAGAATAAATAAGCAGAGCAGGAGACATCTGCACACAATAGTTACTGAATGTATTGAACCAGTTTGAGTCATTTGAATCTGACATGTATATAACAATTGCCATGATATACTAATATTGCAATATTTGGTTAATATAGCCGTTTTGCCCAGTCATAGAAGAATTATACTGAGTGCAGTAAATAAATCTCCCAAGAATATATTGCAAAAAGTAAAAATTTACATTTATTCAAGTAGATCCAGTTCACATGCAAGTTACAGTCAAAAGAAGAGAAAGAAGCCTAATCTACTTTCCCTATCACAAATGGCCAGCTTCTCCAGCATCATCTGTATGGGAATATGAGGGTACTGTATCTACAGGAGAGACCTACAGAGAGGTGTGTCTCCATGGAAGGCCACGTGAAGTGAGAGTGAAAGGACAAAAAGAGAGGAGAGGTCAAAGGGCAGCTCCCAGGTTAAGACAAAGAGAGGCATTCCATTCAAGGAGATAACACCTATATATAACTCAGAGTGATAAAGCACCCACAAATGTTCAGGCGTGGCTCACTCCAACAACTAGTTCCCTTGAATTCCCAACTTTCATTTTTCAAGTCTTTAGGGTTTTTTATTGTGAAGATATAAAGGTAAAGGTTCCAATCATTTTGTACAGATTGCCTGGAAAGGAATGGGGAAGTGAAGCTGCAAGATGGCTGAATAGGATGCTCAATTGATTGTGTGGACACTCTGTTGTCACTGGAAAAGCTTTTGCATTTGTAATGGCAATGGATGCAACATGAAGAATTGTCACTGTGTGACTGAAGCCTGTCTGCTTATTTGGATTTTTATTTATTATTTATTTACAGAATTTACTCAAGTGGTTAAGACGCTGAACTGCAGGCTGTGGAAGGTCAGTAGTTCAGCAGTTCAAGACCCAGGTGCCGCAAGATGGAGTGAGCTCCCGTCTCTAGTTCCAGCTCCTGCCAACCTAGCAGTTCGAAAGAAAGAAATTGCAAGTAGATAAATAGGTACCGCTTTGGTGGGAAGGTAACAGCGTTCTGTGCGCCTTGGTGCTTAGTCATGCCGGCCACATGACCACAGAAATGTCTTCGGACAGCGCTGGCTCTTCGGCTTTGAAACGGAGATGAGCACCGCAACCCTAGAGTCGGATTGACTGGCTTTCGAGCAAGGGAACCTTTACCTTTACCTTTTTACTCTCATCAGGGCCACCAAGGTGGCTAATGGATTACAAACATACAAACTAAAAACACATCTTAAAACCATATAACTCCCCCCCATCATCAAAACATTTTAACTAAGTTAAAAAACATATACAACACAATACAATACATATACATAAAAACAACAATTAAATTTTGTCTGTGACATCACTACATCTAATAGTAAACTGGTCATTCCCCATGAGGATGATGCAAACAGCAAAATGGACTATCATCAGACAACGCAGGGATTTTTAACAACTATAAATGCACTATAAACTATAAATATGACTTTGTAAATCACCCATGATTTTAAAAGCTGTTGTATATTTTACATAGTCGACTTATTTTTAAAAGCCTAAAAAAACTGACCCAATGAGGACTAAACATACTCCAGGAAAGACAATATTTTAAGCAGGGCTATTTTGGGGGCGGAACACACCAGAATGGCGTTCCGGCTGTGATCCGGCTTGGCTACACCCCTTGCTCCCAGCAGCCCTCAGTTGGCCGCCAGAGCAAAAAGAAGCGAGGTGAGTTTTCCTGGCCCACCCGCTCAGGGCACCCCAAGCCTTGCTGGTGTGGGGGCAGTGGCGGCAGCTTGATGGGCGTGTGGGGGTGGGCCATGGGGAGGTGGTGGGGGCTTGATGGGGTGGTGGGTCACAGGGTGGTGGTGGTGGGGAGTCCCTTTAAGTACAGGGAGCTGGAAGGCCTTGCGCACCCGATCTCCGCTCGGAGATCGGGTGCCCAGGGCCCTTTCAAGCCAACTCCCTGCACTTTCGGGGAGTCCCTTTAAAGTGCAGGGAGCTGGGAGGCCTTGCGCATCTGATCCATGAGCAGAGATTGGGTGCATGCGGCCCTTTCAAGCCAGCTCCCTGCACTTACAGGGCGTCCCTTTAAGTGCAGGGAGCTGGGAGGCCTCAAGCGCCCGATCTCCAAACGGAGATCAGGTGCGTGGCCCGCAGCCACCCCTCTCCCTCCTCTTTCTCAAGAGATAAGGGAAAGGGGTAGCTGCAGGTGTTGGGGCTTCTTTCCTTGTCTCTCTTTCTCTTTCTTTCCCTTTTTCTTCTTTCCTTCTCTCCCTTTTTCTTTCTTTTCCTTTTTCCTTCCTTTTTTCCTTCTCTCTTTCTTTCCCTCCTTTCCTTCCCTCCTTCTTTCCTTCTCATTCTCTCTTTCCCTCCCTCTTCTCTCTCTCTTTCTCTCTCCCTTTTCCCCTTGGCTTTCTTTTCCTCCTTCTTTCCTTCTCTTTCTTCCCCTTTCCCTCCTTTCCTTCTCTCTCTCTCTCTCTTTCTTTCCCTCTTCCTTTCCTTATTTCCTTCTCTCCTTCTTTCCTTTCCTCTTTC